CACTCCAATTTGATAGCATTCCTTGAACCCTTCTATAAGAGAAATTCTGGAGAGTCCACTGATAATAACTTTTCTTTTTGCTAATCATCTCAAATATAAATCACACTCACTTTAAGTTCTTTAGTTACCCAGAATAACTAAGAGTGACAGTTTATTTCTCTTATATTTAACTTCAGTTTAGTATACATAGTTATACAAGTGCATACACAAGTCCATACACAATCGGACATAATTTAATGGCAGGAGCTCAAAACCTGAGGTCAGAATAGCTAGTTTCTGAATGAAAACCGGGTATCACAAACCTTACAGAAAAAGTAACTACAGTTGAGGTCCATGTAGTATTAACGTTAGTCCTGTAATGTCAATCTTAAATAAGGAGGTGAATGATGCAGGTAAAATCATAAGGCAAAAGATCTGTTCATTTGCACAAATTTGCTAACATTAACCAGGCATTCCCTTTTTATCATACTATCAGATGACCTCTCTCTTATTTTTCAAGGGCCAGTTGAAGTTTTCAAGTTCATATTAGGAACAACATGCTTTTCAAAGCACAAGTATTTCTCTTAGGGTGACTCTACTGTGGGCCAAACAGATCTTCCTAAACAAAGGCAACTCTCCTCTGAGTTTCTCTCCCAGGTTTGGTAGCATGAACCCACTCTGCCCGTGCGCTATGCATTTGGAAGCCTGAACGTATTCCAAGTTGACTATGCAATTGATATACTAAACCCACGGCAGAACATTAATTAAAAACTCTCAAAGAATAATACTTAAAAATGTTTAAAAGCATCTATGTTGGAGGTCTAATGAAAAAGTTTAGTGGTAACATAGATTATAAATCACCAAAATGTAAGCTTCAAGGAGGTAGATGTGTTTGACCTCTTTGTTCACTCTTATATGTGGTGCACCTAAAATTGTGTCTGGCTCTTGGTAGGAGAGTAAAAACTCAATATCTGCTGAATGAAGAATGAACATTAAAATGATAAAAGAATTAAGTGCTTAAAAAATAAAAATCATGAGTTTTTTACACTTGAGCAAAAAGATAAACAAATATAGTTCTTATTGTAACTTTGGTGATCTTTGGGTTAAAATATTCAAAAATGATGCTACAGCCAATGTACTGACATAAAGTAATTTGGGACCTCTCCTAAGGAAATAAAAGCATTGGAATAATTATGTTGTTACTATAACTTTCAAAACCATTCATATATATTTTCACAATATGGTACACTTAATTGCATAATAGTAATATATTTATTTATTGGTTTGTTGGCACATTAAAAAAATCAGTGTATTTGATTCTCCCTTATAAAATAGGAAAGGTAAATATCATTACTACTAGTTCACAGATGAAGAGATTCAGGCTCAAAAATATTAAATGTCTTATAAAGATATACCCCATCAAGTCTTAAGTTCTTGTTCAGGAAGAAAATATTAATAATACTAAAAAAATAACAATAGCAATAATAATGCAACTAATGTATCCAAATATTGTTCAAAGTCCTTTCATATTCTACTCTTAGCAATGACACCGGGAGGTTTGCAGTTATTTTAATTCAATTTCTGAGAAGCAAAAGCAATGACCTGGTAAGACCATATAACTCCCACTAAGAGATACATATATCGAGTAAATCACGGAAGTGGGACTCTAACCTATGCTTTCTGACACCAAAACATGTGTCAGAAAGCCTGGCTACCCACTACTCACATCTTAATCCTATGGTTTTACCATGACTTCTATGATTGCACATGTTGAAATGATGCACACAAATAAACTACATGAATATATCTTTCTGTTATTATAAATGTGACCTATTTACCCCAGAAATTGCATATTCACATGGAATTGGTTTTGTTTTCCCATTAACGGTGGTAGTCCATCATCTACTAAATTACCTAAGTCCCACTCTAAACTATTAGTTATAAATTGGCTACCCATTTGATTAAGGAGGGTAGTTGTGATTGTGAAGCTCACACTAATTGTGTGTGATAATTCACTTCTCGTTGACATACACTGGTATATACAGAGATGCAGAAATGACCCAGGCAATCCCACAGAATTCCCAGTTGTCTTTCTCTTCTGTGCAAGCTGCTAGGAAACTTCTCAAATGCAGTAGTAATGTTTCGGGCACTGTATCCTACAGATCTCTTTTATGTCTCTTAACCATTCCATAAGGTTGCAAACTTTCCAACAGACATTCACAGTATGTGCTCAAACCCTGTATATATGCATAATCAGTGACCTCTCACATATTTGATATGCATGAATTTTTTAAATTTTATACCTTTTCTCAATAGCTGAGGTTTAAGTAGACAGTCTGGTAAGAAAAGTAGACCAGTAATGAATTCATTCAAGCATTTGAGTGCCTTCTCTCTATAAAGACAGAGTACTAAATGCCTGGTGTTTATGCTGTACTTTACTTCAGGATATTCTAAGTCACTGAAAAACCTGAAAAAGTTAACAATCAAGCACCTCTTTTTTTGGTTGCTTGATTGGTTGGATGGTTGGTGGTTTGTTGGAAAGGCAAAGAAGAGATAAGAGATGATTTTCTCATTTCTTCTCTCTCTCTCTCTCTCTCTCTCTCTCTCTCTCTCTCTCTCTCTCTCTCTCACACACACACACACACACACACACACACACACACACATACACTCTTGCTTAGTCCCCAACCCCTTTGATGTTTTGTATGCAATGTTGGACTGACACAAGAAACTCCCTGTAGAAAGGCAGGTTTCCTCTGAGCTAAAGCTGGTTTCCATGGTGCTGAATTGTCCATTTAAAAGTATGCGTGGGTCCGTAGGTGCATACAGGGCACCAGTGCCCGTGCCAACCACAGGTCATTCAAGGCCAGAAAGAATAAGACATTTGTACTGCACATAAACAGCACAAGGCCATGCAATTTTATTTTATGCATTTTGGCTCCAATTTAGAAAAAGGAAATCTCATTATCTCGTGGCTTATATTTTAAGGTCAGTTAATCATGTAGGTTGTTTTCACTTTGAAAACTACTTTTAAAGGGATGATTTTGTGATTGCTTGGTGCTTGGATAAATACTCAGATCTGTAAATAAATGTATCTCAAAGCATCCTTTTCCATCCCTCTACCTTGGTTTCCTTTAGATTTGGGGGCTGTAGGAAAGGAAAATGCTACCCTAAGTTGGTTGTACAGGCAGGAGGATATGTTGGCTGGGATAGCCATTTCTAGTATCCTTAGATTTGTCTCTTTCAAAGAATATACTATGCAAGCAGAACACCAATGAAGTTACGAAGCACTGGAAATTTTAACACACACTCATTTCTTATTTTGTATTGTTCACAGTATTTTTTACCAGGGTAAGTAGAGTTGATTGCATCCCAAAAGCAGGATATTAAGCCTGGAGCACATCTCAGATGAAGGATATTTTAGTTATGAGTAGTATTGACTTTTTTAAGAAGAAATACTTGGAAATGTTTTAGTAGAGTCTAAACTACCTAATAACATGCACATTATCTATAGTCTAGCAAAACATAAGTCTGCAGTAAAAGTTAGTATTGGTGATCTTTTCCTTCCCTGAAACCTAGATCCCACATGCCTAGAGAAAATGCAAACGAAAGTAGTAAATTTCTATTTTTTTTTTAAAAGAAAATGAGTATGTTCAGTGACAAAAACAAAACGAAGCAAAACACTAGTTTCTTAAATTTGTAAATGGGCTGGCTAATTGCAGGTGAGACCTAGCATAGTAATTGAGAAATTTCAGCTGCTCAAGAGCATCACTATGGGAGTGCCTTGCAGTGGTCCCTCGCATGGTCTGTCAGTTCCTGGAAAGGGTGTGAGTTAAAAGTCCTCAGAGCTCAGGGCTTCACTCTTGCTGTTTTTAAGTGGGAGATGGGAGATGGGAGAAGCTGGGAACCCCATGTAGTGTAGGGACTTCACTTGTGGCTGTGGCTTTCAGAGGTTGGGGAAGATGGGGGCAAGTGAGACTAAGAGAACAGAAGCTGGGTTAAGTTTGAAAGGAAATGAGGTGAAGAGCTTTGTCAACCTCCAAAGCTCAGAAATTCCTCTATGCTCCACAGATCAAATCTTGGTGGTGTGTGCTGGGCATTTAGGTCCAGGAGTTCATGGCCCTTCCTTGCCTTTTGCACTCTTCAGGCTGCCGCACCTAGGATCCCCACATTTAGCCTTGAGTCTCTTTCTATCTCAGCTAGGATCAGGGCTCAGGCTCAGAGTCGCCCAGGGAGTCCCCTGGCCTGGGGATAGATAGGATCATACTGGGTGGCAGGCAGGCGGTCCAAATTTGGGAGCAAGTGGGAAACTTAAGTGACTTAAGTGCCTGTTGGTGTTGCTAACTGATCCTCCTCCTCACTCCTTGAACTTTCAGCCAGAAGTCAGGTCCGGACTCTGCCCTACTGGAGTGGACACCTCCAGACTTTGCAGACTCTCCGTGGAAGAACCCAACTTAGGGATGAAAACTTGGAGGCTTTGGGCTAGCAGGCTCTAGGATATCCCCACGTCCCTGGTGGTCCCGGTATTCTACTCGGTATCCCGGCATGCTTGCAAGTACCCAGAGCCCAGGTTGCGAGGCACCGGGGCTGCGGATCTGGACCGCAAGACACCCACCCATGCGTTTTGGAGAGCTTACCCGCGCGCCCAACTCAAGTGGCTGCAGCAGCGCGCGACTCCTCACCCAGAGTAGAGTGCCAGCCCCTATGAACCTGATTCCCTGCACTTTTGCCCGCGTTCCCAGAGCACCAATTGAAAAACCCGCCATCTGTACCTCCCGGGGAAGTCCGAGACCCGCCAAGAGGGGAGCAATGATCTCTCTCTCTCTCTCTCTCTCTCTCTCTCTCTCTCTCTCTCTCTCTCTTTTGTAGAGCCTCCTGTGCGCTCTGACCTCCACTATCCCCCAGCTCCTGCCCTCTCCCCAGCGCCCGCTTCGCCCGCGACCCGCAGCGTTCGCGCCGCCCGCGGGAGCGACCAAGTCCCCGGAGCCCGCAGCCTGGGGAGCTCCTCTGGGCTCACTCACCGATCCTAAGTACTTGCGGGGCGCTCTGGGGGAGGACGTAGCAGAGGAAATAGAGGAGTGTCCAGCTGGTGTCCCTGGTCCAGAGCCCAGGCTGGGCGACGAGTGTGCCGCGCTCCATCTTCCTAGCTTCTTAATTCATGCCGAGACACAGCCGTTGCCGCACGCCCGCAAGTTGCACCCCCCTTGGGCCAGGTCCCCACCTCATCCTCCCTGGATGCTCCGGGTCCGCACTCCGCACGCTGTCCCCAGAGCGAGATCGAGGAAACCCGCGTGGGAACGCGGAGCTGGCTGGCAAGGCTGAGCTCGCTCGGGGCTCCTCGCTTCTGTCGCTAGCCCATCACCGCTCCTCCTCCTCCTCCTCCATCGGCCACAGACCGCGGAGGATCAGCGCGCTCCTCTTCCCGGAGCCCAGAGACCAGCCGAGGAAAGTTGCTGCCCCAATTTGCGGGAACGTCTCCCGCATTCGTCCTCTGGTCGGATGCAAAAGTCGGGGGCAGGTGGAGGATGCAGACAGAGGAGGCGAAAAGGGGAAAGAAGGCGAACGGAGGAGAGAGGGTACCGGGTGAGTTGGTGCAGGGCTGTGATGAGCTCTAGCAGGTTAACTGGGATCCTGGGATCGGAGCCACGCTCTTGCTTCTCTCAATCCTCGCTTTCCTCCTCCCCTCTCTGGCCCCACCCTTTATTTACTGCCCGCCCCAACCCCACTGATCGAGATACACACACACACACACACACACACACACACGCACGCACGCACACACACACACACACACACACACGCACGCGCGCGCGCACACAAACACACGCACCCAGAGGCACGCTCATTCTCTCTCTCCCTCAACTTTGCGCTCTGCTGCCGGAAAGTCAATTGAGTGTTGCATCCTCCAGGCAGATCAAATCAAAACTATTGGTCCGAACAGAGGCAGCCTCCGCTATCTGCTCTGAGTGGCCAGAGGGACCTCCTAGGTAATGTCCCTGTGCTCCTATTAGGGGGTCTTAGAGACGTCCAACTATGGCTGGTCCTATCATTTAATGGAAAATTGTGTTTTTGAGCACCAGTATTTCAGAGACCATCGGTGCTCCCGTTTTAACTCTGACAAGGATGAAGAAGAGAAGGAGGAGGAAAGGAAAGAGAAACCTTCAGTACTCTAAGATTATATAGTGGCTTCTTAGCTATTTGGATTCGAGATAATTTCTTGTAAATTGCTTCTATTTACACGTGCAGAACTGGGAAAGAAGCAGTCTCCAGAGCCGCTGCTTTTCTTGATTTCTTTAGACTGCCACGTTTGAACACTGGAAGATAGGCTATTTTAACAATGTAGGTTTGGAGACCATTTCTTTACAGAAGGACAAGGACACTTCTCTGGGGAAATCAGTATCTGATCATGTTGGTTTAATTTCCTTAGCGTTTTGTAGGGAATGTTCTATACAAATGTTTGCTAGTTCTATGTGAATGCATCATACAGATTTTTTTTTTCTAAGTATGGATTTTGGAACACTAATTGAAATTGAGTCAATTCTTATGAAAAACAGGTCCACAGTTACGTGGGCCTAGAATGGGAAACAATTGCAAACGAAATCTAATATATCTTAAAATGAATTTATTCATTTATTCAACAAATAACTACTGAGTATTTTGTATGTGGTGCCAAATACTAAATTTTTCGCTGAAGGCCCAAGGGAGGCTAGAACCTCACTGCCGGAAGGTGGTCATTTCACACATCCAGTAGTATGCCTCATTCTGGGCACTTTGAAATGGCAATTGACAAAATAGAACATAGCTGCAAATAAGAAGAGAGACTGATATGGATTTAGGAATGTCTGTTATACATGGGAAGACTGAGGACACCAAGAAGAATTAGGGGCATATACTGGTTATCTTCAGAAATTTGAAGAGATCTCATGTTAAAAGAAAGTAGTCCCAGTCAGTGTTAGTTAAATGAGAAGAAATTAGAAAAATAAGAATGATGGATGGAAATTGCAGAAGAGTTCATAAATTCCACCTCATTTGGGGGGAGCAATTTCTAAAACCAGAGAGTGTCTAACAATGAATGGCATGACCTGCTTCAGAAGAGTCAAACTCTCCATTCATTCATTTGCTCACTTATTATATTTCATGCACATTTACTGGGAAACTATGATGTGTGAGGCAGTGTGCCAAGCCCTGGAGAAACAGCAAGGATACGGATATTGCCATCCTGAAACTCATAGGCTTTAAATAAGTATGGCCATGAACATGGCCATAGCAAAAAGCAAAAAAGGAATCTAACCTCGTTTAGGAGTTTGGGAAGGACTTGTTGAAGGAGTGATGTTTCAAAACTCAAAGAATGGGTAGTTTATAAGTGATTGGTAAGTATTTCTTAAAGCAAGAATAAATGCAAAAACTGTTAGATGGCTTATATTTAAACCTAAAGATTTGTGATGAGCCCATTAAGTAGTCATTTTTTTCTTGACATGTCCAAGGCCAATCTATAGTAGATATTGTATGGCTAGAATTTGAGAATCCAAGATCTAGAATCAAGTCAGCTTTTGAACAAACTGTGTTTAAATTCTGGTTTTACCAATTTCTAGTTTTTTAGCCTTGGTTTAATTGCTTTTTCTCTCTGTAGTAGGTGACTTGTACTTACCCACATCTAGTTCTCTCCCTCTCTAACATATGAAAGCCTGTACCTTTTCAGTCAGGGGGAATCATGTGACTATTTGCCAATGAAATGTGAGTGGAAGCTCACCACTTCCAACTGAAAAGGAAGGCAATGGATAGATTCTACATGGTCCTGCAGGACTATCTTTCCTTGCCAAAGTACTTCCAAAAGCCACAAGTTCTAGAGGTCAAGAAGAAAGAATCCTGGATCCCTGAGTTACATTTTGCAAGGGGGTTGATCAGAATAGTTGTCAGGCCAGCAACATACTTGTGACAAATCAGTCACAATTCAATGCTATGTTTTAATCCACTAACATGTTGAGTTGTTTGTTACTGCAGCATCACCTACTATTAACTGATAAACTCTCTATGATTTATTATCCTCATTTGTAGGATTAGAATAATAATAGCACTCTAGGGCCATTGGAGGATTATATGAGCTATTGCATATCAAGTGTTTCCCAAAACCCTTGTTACTCAGTATACATTAATTCGTTTGTGGTGATTACTTTTTCTGGTTAAAATCCTTGCATACATTTGTGGTTGTAATATGCCCCAGATTACAGATATTAAAATATTTTGTTTGATGGGAAAGAAGTCAACAATATTGGTCCAACTAATAGTATACTAATCATAATTAGTCCAATACAAATTAAGGAAATTTTGTTACTTTTTAACTGTGTTACCTTTGGACTGTGAGTAAACAGTTCATTTTGGTAGTTAGAGATATTAGAGAGATTGCCATATTCTAGAGCATGTTTCTTAAAGAATAAATGACACACTTAAGTTTCTTTTCTGTATCATCTGTAAAATTCTATAAAGCTTAAAATGGAAATATATTTCCTTGTTAAAATGCTTCCCTCTACTGCTCATGTATACAGGCTCATGGTGTTGAGTTACTCATGAGTGATCTGCAGCTGCTGTTAATTTGTGTTGTGCTTTTTAGAAGGACTGTATTTTGTGCATGTATGCATCCAGTTTTTTGTGGGTTTTTTTGACCAAAATGATTCTGGTAATCACTCTTGATTCACAATTTTTCATTGTGCCCTCTTAAGAATAAAAATGTTCAACTGAATGCATGCTATCTTTTTCCCCTTCCCCAAATCTTAAGCTTAAGTTGATACACTGTACTGATTAATAATAAATCAGTACAATAGTGTGCAGCATTGTGCTTTCTATGAGAGCTGGTGGCATTACTTAGATACTAATCCATTGAAAATTACTTAATATTTAGAAGATAACTGGATACAAAGAAAAATTGCTTAAAGTAAGCTAAGGAATACAGATGTTATACTATGTTTTCAAAATGTGGTAAGTATACTTGAGAATACTTATAATGTTACCCAGGTCACTGAAATCAAAAGATCAAGTGGCTTTTAGAGCCTGCTGAGAACTTGTAGCCGATTTAGGATCAAAATCCTGAATTATGGGCTTCTTTTTTATATTCTTTCTTGCTCGGTGATGCCACATATTTCTATGACATTAAATACTACCTTTAAAGCAAAGATCCCCAAATTTGTCTTTTGCTCAGATCTCGCCTCTGAACTCTGGATTCATGCAGCCAACTCTACCACTTCTAACTGACTCAACATCTCAATATCTTTTTTCTTAGCTTTAATTTGCATTTCTTTTTCTAATTTCACAATATTATGGGGGTACAAATGTTTAGGTTACATATATTGCCTTTGCCCTGCCTGAGTCAGAGCTTCAAGCATGTCCATTCCCCAGACAGTGCTCACCACACCCATTAGGTGTGAGTATACCTACTCCCTCCCCCACACCTGCCTGACACCTGATGAAAGTTATTACTATATATGCACTTATGTGTTGATCAGTTAATACCAATTTGATGGTGAGTACATGTGGTGCTTGTTTTTCCATTCTTGTGATACCTCATTTAGTAGAATGTGCTCCAGCTCTATACAGGATAATACAAGAGGTGCTAGATCACCATTGTTTTTTGTGGCTGAGTAGAAAACTCCATGGCATACATATATCACATTTTATTAAGCCACTCATGTATTGATGGGTACTTGGATTATTTCCACACCTTTGCAAACTCTTGATTCCATACCATGTCATTGCCCCTACGCCAAGTCCTCTCTCAAATTTTCCCATTTCCATCTGAGCACCACTTTCCATCCCACTATTAAAACTGGAAACTCAGGAAGTCACCTTTGACTTCTTTCTTACTTCTGCTCCTCACTTAATACCCAGTTTATTTTCATACACTAATGGTTTTATCTTCAAAACATGCCTTTAATCTGCTTCTTTGAAGTTCCACCGACATCATACAAGCCTGGGGTTTTTCAACCTCAAGACTTTTGATATGTTGGCATAGAAATTATTTTTTATGCAGGCTGTCCTTTTCATTGTTGAATGTTTAGCAACTTCCTGGGAGTCTGTCCACTAGATGTCAGTAGTACCTTCCTCCCAAGGTGTGACAACCAAAAATGTCTGCAGACATTGTCAAATGTCCTTTGAAGTACAAAAGTACCCCTGGTTGAGAAGCACTGCATGAGCCCAAGTCACCAGGATCTTCCATCTGGTCTATTACGATAGGCCTTCAACAGTCCCTCTCCTTTCATTTGCCTCTTTGTGTCCATTTTGTCTGATCTAAATTAGCTCCTCCCAGTAGCTTCCTTCTCGGCACACTGCTTCATTTCCTCGTGTTCATTACCAACTCTGTAATTATTTTATTTTAAATTAAAATAGACTCTTTGCTTTGTTTATGTCAAATCCCAGTGCCTACCACTATGCTGGAGCTTTGGGGGAGCTTGATTACTATTCACTGAATGAGTAAATGGATGAATGAATGACACTCTCATTAGACACACAATCACCTACAATTCATAGCTGCAAATTTGCAAGATTGAGCTGAATTATAAGCCGATTCCTTTTGTGATTTCATTCAAAGGTCCTACATTGATTAGCTTAATATTTATCGTCATACTGAGTACATATCTGGCAAAACCAGAGTACCATCTTGCATGTGCTTCCTCAGATTTCAGCAAAGTGTTATAAGGA